GCATGGAAAGGCAGTTTCTGTGCCATTCTGTGGATGAGACACGTTCTGTGAAGACCAGAGGTTAAGAGGTCTGTAAGGAATCTCTTTAAGTCTGTTCTTTGTCTCCCAGGTGGGGGAGTCAATCCAAAGAGCTTGTGATTGCTATCACTGGTTACCATGTGATGGTCACGCCGTTCATCTCTTTTGACCATTAATCTTAATAACTTGCCCCAAAATTGACAATCTCCTTGGAATTGTCAATAAGTGTTCTTTTGTTTAAATGCTGTGAGCTACTCAAAGCTACTGGTTGGTTCCGGCTGGTGGGGCCAGGATCTGATTTACGACATCCTGTGTCTTGGACCTCTGTGGAATTTGTCTCCTCATGTTTCAACCATGTTTTGACCAAATCTGAGATTGTCTGATTCGGTCTGATACCCAACACTATGTAACCATGGTTCCCTGAGTAGGGAACGAGACACTGCGTCCTCTAGGTTTCGTGCCATGCTGCGGACGCAAGCTTCAAGTGGATGATGTGTTCTCCCGGTGCCTATTTATACTATAGTCGCACCGGTAGTGACGTCATGGCTGTCGCCGGTTGGTGTTTTTTCAATGTATGCTTCAGACACGGGTCACGATGAGGCGTTCCCCATAGCGACCCCAAGAGTACGCAGTGTCTTGTTCCCTACTCAGGGAACCATGGTTACGTAAGTAACCTGAGATGTTTTTCTGAATTGCTAAAACACATTTCTTGAAACCATCACTCATTTTCTCAAAACCTTAAACACAAATCTAAATTATATAAATACTCAAACTAAATTCACGAAACCTCTGACTTTTCAATCACTGCAAAACCATTTCACTTGCACTCAAAATCAAACGGTACTCTCAGATCACACACACGAGTTAATAAAATAAACACTACAGAGCATTCATTAGACACTACAGAGAAAAATGGAGAACACAGCATCCAGAACATTACAGAAAAAAGTATATTGTATTGAGTAAACTATTTTGCAATTCTGTAAAAATGTATAGTAATTGCAACTGAGTAAGGTGAATATATTGTATAGGCCTACTGTATGTACTGCAAGAATAGTATTGTGCCGAATATTGAATAGTACTGAATGTTTGTATATATTCAGCACTTGGATACTGCAAAAAGGCTGCAGTCCAACTGCAAATGCCAAAAAGGTCAAGTAAAACTCTAAATGAATAGCATGTTACTGTACACTCAAATATTTCTCAAAACCTTAAACACAAATCTAAATTATATAAATACTCAAACTAAATTCACGAAACCTCTGACTTTTCAATCACTGCAAAACCATTTCACTTGCACTCAAAATCAAACGGTACTCTCAGATCACACACACGAGTTAATAAAATAAACACTACAGAGCATTCATTAGACACTACAGAGAAAAATGGAGAACACAGCATCCAGAACATTACAGAAAAAAGTATATTGTATTGAGTAAACTATTTTGCAATTCTGTAAAAATGTATAGTAATTGCAACTGAGTAAGGTGAATATATTGTATAGGCCTACTGTATGTACTGCAAGAATAGTATTGTGCCGAATATTGAATAGTACTGAATGTTTGTATATATTCAGCACTTGGATACTGCAAAAAGGCTGCAGTCCAACTGCAAATGCCAAAAAGGTCAAGTAAAACTCTAAATGAATAGCATGTTACTGTACACTCAAATACTCTAAGTTGTGCAATTGTAAAATCAGGGTCAATGAGTGATTCATTCTGTCTCAGTATCATGTCTTTGTGCTTGAGTCCGGCCTGAGGGCTTTGTCCACATCACAAGTAATGTTGTCTTTTTTGATAGACAAAGAGAAAAAACCCACTGGTCTGACAGATCCAGCATTGATAATGTAGCCAGGTAAGGTATAGCCCAGGTATGATTGGCTGATGTCATGCCAGCCTGTGAACCTATCTCTACCTGTGTCCCCACTCCTTTGTGATTGGTTAACATGGTTTAAATCCTATGAACCTATCAGTGTTGGCATTTGATAATATAAAAAGGGAAGTCTTTGATTACTCAGGATACATCATCCTTGGTATTAGACCAGGGGTGTCAAACGCAATTCCTAGAGGGCTGGTGCCCTGCAGAGTTTTGTTTCAACCCTGCTCCAACACACATATCACATAGTTTTTAAATAAGCCTAAAGGACTTGATTAGTTGGGTCAGGTGTGTTTAATTAGGGTTGAATCTAAATTCTGCAGGGCTCCGGCCCTCCAGGAATTGAGTTTGACACCCCTGTACTAGACCTTTGTGGTAGTATGTCATTATGAACAAGGGATGGGGCTTGGTGCGTCCTCTTGTTGTGTTTTAGCAGTTAAGCCTTGTTCAGGTTAGTCTCCCAGTTATAAAAAGGGTTGTTTTGTTTATATAAGGAGAGGCTTTATTTGGTGTCTTCTTTTGGTCACCAGCATACTAGTGGCCATGATCTTGCGTGGTGCGCTACCATGCATTTTTCAACATGGTAAATCTCTCTCGGTATGTATGACGGGAGCTTGTCATGTGTTTTAATGAGTGTAATATTGTAGATAATCTTTGTTTCATGTTCAGCAGGTGTAACTGCACATCCAGGGGTTTCCAGTAACTTGGTTGGAGACAAATGTGCATCAGTGATGTGACTGCACTGCTGCTTTGTTTTTAGTGTTTGGGTGACCGTTTTAACTTTGTCTGTCTTGGTCTTATTTTGGTTAACTTGGTTTGTATGGGTTTTCTTTTATTCATCCATGAGCAGCCATTCATTAACATGCGTGTGTGTGTGTTAGCAGGGAGACAAGATATTTGGCCTTGGTCAGCCATTTTTTCTCTCTCGTTGGTGCAGACGACTGCTCATTTTTATGTTTTCTTTTTTGTTTTTTTCTTTGTACAAGTAGTTGTCGAATCTGTGTATGTGGACTCCTTTTGGAGTAGATTGTTCTGTTGTGGTATGAAAGTGAGTTTTGTATTTTTGACTGTCTTGAAGTTTGTACCAGTTTACCATGTTATCATATAGGAGTAGAAACTTTTTAAAGCTGGGGTTGCAGTCTTTTAGCGTGTCCACATGGAGTGCGGTGCTTAACCAATTGTATTGCTTTCACAACTGTGGTGTGAGTTGAAAATCCAAAAGGACCCCGCTGGCCATTTCTCTCCTACTGGTCATTCATGTATTTTTGTCTAATTTTAGTTTAAAAATAAATTCAGAAGCAACACAGCATATAGATGCATATATTCAACATAGACTCTAAATGTAATATCTTATTTAGCATTGCTTTGCAATTGCAAGTAAATTTGATTAAGCATTTTTGATATTTTTACTGAAAGACAAGTCGAAAACTAAGAAATAATTGTCCTCCAATTACTGAGGTTTGTTACAGGACGTTAAGTATGTTCTATATTTCCTTGCAATGCATTGAACAAGTATTCAAATTGACATTCTTTTTTGCATGCTGACTTTTGAATTAAAAGTTTTTTATTAGCATACAGAAGCTTTTGCACCCTATTCTGTGGCATGCATTATAAATGGACACTTTACAGTTTCAGCATTCATCTTTGCTATATTGTGCTGTTCATCAGCTGAGTTTGTAAGAGGCTGGCTGGATGGATCATAGAACAGAACAAGAACTTTTGAACAACATCAGCACTGACAAAGCAAACGTCTATTTATCAGTTTCTTTTTCGCTTATCAGCTCTCGGCGCCATTCATTGAGGTTGTTTTAAGTCACCTTCACCTTCTGACATAAGATACACTTGAGCAGGAGACATAACATCCCTCTGTTCAATTTACAGCTTCCTGTTAATGAATCCAAGCAGTCATTCGCTGGACAAGCTGAAGACTCTATAGAAGTTTGAGGTGCTCTCTGGTTAGCTAATGGTATTCGTAGAGTACTATTCATTCACTGCTTTCTTGGCCTTGCACCATCTTGTCAATTTGGCTGAGGATTGTCTCCCGCTTTCAAACAAAATCAAAAGGCCTGAAAGCCAAGTGGTTTGTTAGCTGTATGTCGAAGTGATACTACAATGCACCCCTCATTTAGATGGTCAAGGAATCTGACACAAAGCATGCGCAAAGCCCGTGTAAGCGTTAGAGCTTCCCGGTTTGGCTCGCTCTCCGCACCCTTAGCTCTCTTCATGCTGCTCCAAATGAATGGACGGCTCTGATGTGATCTGTGCTGTTAGCTGGGAAATGTGGATGCAGAATGGCCATTATAAGAGTGAAGAACTGTAGAAAGAAGAAAGAAAGAAGAGAGAGATGAATCTAGTCTGCTTGCATTGAAAGATGAACTTATTATGAATAATGCCTCTACTTTTCCATCCAATTCCCAATTCCATCTCTCAGCCCATTGTCAGTCACCCCATTACCGCTTCAGTTTTCATCCCTGAATTCGATATTGGGGAATTGATCTCATATTTATTTAAAAGAAGATTGTCTTTTATTAAAACAGATTTATTTTCTCTCCAGCCGGATCCAATGAGATAAAAGGAAATTATTGAGAAAGTCCAATGTGTTCATTCACAACCTCATTTGAGTAATAAAATAACACTTTTAACCCATAAAGTATTAGTTAGGATGTTTTCTTTCATCCGAATCATTCTAATACTTGTTAGCATGTGTATGAATGTTTAGAAGCTGTGTATTCTGAGAGATGTCATGTTCAGGGTTATTAACTAAAACTACTTAAAATAAAATAAATGCTAACTGAAATATATTATATATATGAAATATATTATATATTTAAAAATATATTATTTCAGCTAGTTGCCAGTGTTTGTTATATTCATATTTATTTTGTTTAGCTAATGTTCTCTTTCAATTAGCTTTTTCTCGATATACCGCTTCTGTGTGCATCTTTTCATACAATTATATAAACCCATCTGCTGAAATATCTGATGACTCGTGACTGAGTCCAGATAGGTGATATGAAGTGCTACAAGATGGCTGATAGCACTGTAGCCATTTATCTCACTCTCATTTTAATTATTGCTTATGCTTCATTCCTCTGTTTTTCTTTTCCCTGCTACTTTGCATGATGAAGAAATCCCAGTGTGGCATAATGTAAGACATAATCACTTTATCTGGAGCTGGTTTCAGACAAGAACATGTCCACTTTCCTCTGTCATTTCAAGGACAGCTGGCACAGCTCCAAAAGATAATTTTACACCAGAGAATAGAGGAAAGGGAGAGAGAGAGAGAGAGAAAAAGAGAGAGTTGCATGTATGCATGCCCTGCCAATCAGTTCAGCTTCTCTTTTACATGCCATAAAGAGCTGCACATCAACACAGATTCCTACGCCAGCCATCTCTGTTCCTAATGGATGTGTTTGTGAGGAAATGAATAGCTCTTCTTTTCCATTAAGTGTATTGGAGGAATTAGTAGTTTGAGCATAGCCACTGCAAACCATGTTATATAAAAGTTCCATCTCTAATGCATTTAACTTTCCCCTCCTCTTTCCTCACCATCGGACGGGAATAATTTTTAACAGATGAGGCCTAAACTTCGGAGAGAGCCAGATGTCATGCTTTCTGGAATTTACATTTCTGGTTCTAGTTCAACTGTCTGAAACTGGAGTCAACAGCCAAGTGAAGCACTCTCTCTCTCTCCCTCTAGTTTTTCGTACGTCTGAACAATTATACGGTTTTTCTTTGTCCTCCAGATGGTTGATGGGTTTTTCATTGCCACTGAACTGTCTCAGCTTTGTTTAATGATAGCGCAGATGTTATTGCTCCATTCTGTAACTCATCTCTATTGTCTTGTTTTCTTCATTTTAGTGCTGTCATCGCTGTGTGCTAAAACATTGTAGTCATCTCTGTAGTTAGAATATATGTTCACTGCCTCAATTTGAAGAGATGGTTTACTCTGTTATAATTTACTCACCCTCATGTCATTACAAACCTGTAGGGCTTGCTGTGAAGCACAAAAGAAGAAATGTTGAAGACTGCACTGGCCATTCTTTTACATATAATGAAAGCTCAATTCATGTGCTGATTATATTTGAATTATTTTTTTTAACTTTCTAAAGGGACTGCATTTGAATGGATGCAGATAATGAAAGGAAACATTCTGTATAAACTAATATAGGTTTTCCAGATATACTGTAGAAGCTAATCTCACAGTTTAGGCCAGAAAAATCTATGGTGTGAAAGATTCAGAAGTTCTAACTGATCTAACAAATCACTAACAGTTCAGATGCTGTCCTCAATTCCCCACTTGTTTATCAAAAGTTACATTGTTCTCTCCCAGTGCTACAAAAAAACTATGCTAATAGTTCTCCTTACAAACTGGGTCACCTTCATCCGTCAGTAAGCATACCTCTCAGTCACCACTTATAGAGATCAGTACCTCTCCGCACTGAGTGTGCAGGGCAGGACTGTCAGCGACATCTGACAGATGCAGCATTTCGTCGCGCAGATGCGACACGTCGCGTGGTTTTCACCGTGTGATCAAAGCCACATGATGAGTTCTGATGTCAGGCCGCAGTGTCCCATGGTCTCTACAGTGAGACAGGAGGAGTGCAGGGAGTTTTTTGTGCCATCACATTTTGCCTGTCAGGCTGATGCTTCGGATTGATTCACTGTACGATGTGTTTGGCACTATTGATGCTTTATTAAGCTTGTCGGGAGTTTCTAGGAAGCCCTGTTAGAGTGTGGGTGGAGATGCTGAGGAATGTTGGCTCCCATTAGTGACTAAGACCACCATGAGACTGTCACATCAGATCATCAGCTAAAACAGCTAAAACATGTCCCACCTCACTAGCAGCAGCGACAGTGTCTGGATAATGTGGAAGGCAGTCATTTGTAAGAATCAGACTGATGATGCCTACAGTAATTTACTTGCAGGACGTACTGAACTTTTCATTGTGTGCTTTGCTAATGATCATTATGAACAGCTGTATAAATATGGCTTGGAAAATCACTGAGTGTTGATATGAAGAATACAATGTCAACTCTAAAGTCTCAATGTCAACTCTAAAATAAGTGATTTTTTTTTTACTAAGTGAGATAAACTAGCTTAATACCGCATTGTTAACTCATTTTAATGTATTTTAAAATATAATTAAATCCCAGAAAATGTATGCTACTGTTCAAAAGGTCGGCCGTCCAGGACCGAGTTTGGTGACCCCTGCCTTAAATGATCAAAAGTGACAGTAAAGACATTTTTAATGTTACAAGAATTTCTGTCAAATAAATATTGTTCTTTTGAGATTTCTATTCATCTAAGTATCCTGAAAAAAAATGGTTTTCACATTATTATTAAGTTTTTTTTTTTTTGGAGAAGTAAATCAGCATATTAGAATGATTTCTGAAGGATCATGTGACACTGCAGACTGAAGTAATGGCTGTTAAAAAAATCTGTTTGCCATCACAGGAATACTTTTTTTTTTAAATATTAAAATAGAAAACTGTTCTGTTAAATTGTTATAATATTTTACATTATTATTGTTTTACTGTATTTTGATTAAATAAATGCAGCATTGGTGAGCAAAATAGACTTTTCAAAAACCTTACCAACACCAATGGTATCAGAAAAATATATTGGTAAATATTAAATACATTTATGTATTTAATATTTATAAAAAAATGTCTTGTAGATTTTCACATATTCATATATTATAAACAGTATAAATAGTATGAATCCAAAATGTACATTTAAAAAATCATCAATACATTGCATATTTTGAGACAAAATTGTAAGTCTCTTTGGCTACATTCATGTCCACAGACATAAAATCTGTCTTCATTAGAAAATTATTCATGCGTATATAGCAAATAATGTTTTAGAATTCTGAAAATGCAAAATGTTTTCTCTTACTCAATAGTAGCCTATTTTAATTATTTTTATATATCTTTATGTAAGTAGTGTTTGTGTATATTTATGTCTGCATTTGGAAAGCTACAGTATGAAGTCTGTGTGTGTTTTCTCTGCGATAGTTGTCTACAGGCAAGCTGAGATGCCTTGGAGGTGGCACTGAGGACCCTTAGAGCTCAGGCAGAAGAGAAGGAGGCCGAGCAGTCACGGTTAAAGGTAAAAGTAATCTGTCACCAGCTCTGTCAGCTCTGACTTCACTTCTAACAGCGTTAAATGGGGGGATCTGATCTCTGTCTGATCTCTTAACTGTATCTGTAACTGATATATTTTTTTACTTTATTTATTTAATTTTTAAATCCTAAGTTATATGTTTGCTTTGAGATATGCCAGCAAACTTGAAAAA